TATTTGTTGTGATAATTTATTGTCTAAATACACTACTTAGTTATCAGTTTTGTATCATGATTCATTGCAATTTGCGAGTAATCGGAGGCAGAACCATGAATAGGTTGGCGTATACACTCCCCTCAAAGGTTTGGAAACCTGATCTCCATCGGATAGCTTGTTTACGCCTTGATTAGGTCGGACATTCATGACTTTGATGGTTTTCAAATCACAAAAGATAAATAGGCTTTAATACATGGTAAAATGGAGGTGTTAGGGATTCGAACTTAAGAAATTGGGAAGTGTACCACCGTGGTATTCTTCTGCTGTGGTCATGGCAAAATATACTCTCTCAATCCTAAGAAATGCTTGCCTCGCTAATGAGCTCTCGAAATTGTCTGCAATTATGTATAATGTTTCTTGTTTCATGATATAATCACTCCGTTGAGCCTTATAATATTGCCCTTCATTGCGATCTTTACACAATCATACAATTCAGAGTCTACTTCTACTGTCAAACATGTCTTGGTTAGCACTCTTCTCTAGTGAACACCGTCACCCCTTCTCAGCACATATTCCACTGGCTTCTGTATAAAATAGGCCCTGTATTGAACACCTTTTTGTGGCTCCATAGGTGTTCACTGTGCTCAGGTTTAACCCTATTTCAAAACTACTGTTGGGTTTGCATAAACAAGAGAGGGTAGTCTTGCATAGGGCCTCGATCTTCATATTATACATCTTAATACTTATGTCTGGCCTGGGCCAGGGGCGTAGCGAGGATCAAAATTAAGTGAGGCAAATGTTAAAAGATGAGGCAAATGTAAATATGTGAGGTAAATGAAAAAAACAAGTGAGGCAAATGTAAATAGGTGAGGCAAATGTTAATATGTGAAGCAAATGTAAATAGGTGAAACAAATGTAAATAAGAGAGGCATATGTAAATAGGTGAAGCAAATGTAAATATGTGAAGCAAATGTAAATAGGTGAAGCAAATGTAAATAGGTGAAGCAAATGTAAATAGGTGAAGCAAATGTAAATAGGTGAAGCAAATGTAAATAAGAGAGGCACATGTAAATAGGTGAAGCAAATGTAAATAATAGAGGCAAATGTAAATATATGAAGCAAATGTGAATAGGTGAGGCAAATGAAAACAGGCGGGGCAAATGTAAATATATAAAGCAAATGTAAATAAGAGAGGCAAATGTAAATCTATTAGGCAAATGTATATAGGTGAGGCAACTGTAAATAAGTGAGACAAATATAAATAGATGAGGCAAATGAAAATAGAAGGAAAGTGTAAATAGGTGAGGCAAATGTAAATAGGTGAGGGAAATGTAAATAAGTGAGATAAATGTAAATAGACGAGGCAAATGAAAATAGAAGGAAAATGTAAATAGGTGAGGCAAATGTAAATAATAGAGGCAAATGTAAATATATGAAGCAAATGTGAATAGGTGAGGCAAATGAAAACAGGCGAGGCAAATGTAAATATATAAAGCAAATGTAAATAAGAGAGGCAAATGTAAATATAGTAGGCAAATGTATATAGGTGAGGCAACTGTAAATAAGTGAGACAAATGAAAATAGAAGGAAAGTGTAAATAGGTGAGGCAAATGTAAATAGGTGAGGGAAATGTAAATAAGTGAGATAAGTGTAAATAGACGAGGCAAATGAAAAAAGAAGGAAAGTGTAAATAGGTGAGGCAAATGTAAATAGGTGAGGGAAATGTAAATAAGTGAGATAAGTGTAAATAGACGAGGCAAATGAAAATAGAAGGAAAATGTAAATAGATGAGGCAAATGTAAATAGGTGAGGCGGGAAATGATATATGCAAGGATTTGTTGCAAGACTGAGAGACAATCTGAAAGATCAGACGTATTGTCCTAAGGTCAGAAAAACCATGCCTCCAGAGTCTAGTTGTAAAGTAGCCAAGACGCTCTCTTTTAAGAAGTGAAGTCGACCGATTGCAAATGGTAAGGTCCAAACTATATTTGACATTAGGATCTCCACTCTAAATGATAGTGAGAGATGAAGATATTCTATATATCAGTCTACTACTGAAAGCATATATTGCTAGTAGCAAAACAGAATGATGTGATGAGTGTCAGAATGGCGTTACACCCCCGTTAAGAACTATGGTAATTCTCATCAGCTTGATGATTGATAATACCCTGGATGTCAGAGCGTAGTAATTATGTAAATGAAGCTTCCTAAGAGAAGCTAAATTAACCCATTGGAAAGGTGTAGAACAAAAATACAAGTTCGGTTGCGTTAATACTTACTAACTCTTCTCGTTCTTTGTTTTTAAATAAATAAATAAAAAAACTCTTCTCGTTCCAATTCATTTTTCATTCTTGTGTATTTATAAATAGAGACACGTACAATTGTACTATAGCCAATAAATATATACGAGTGATAAATCAAAATAAAGTAAATGCCTCGGCACCAGACTTCGTATAACAGGCCCGCAATATTGACTTCTTTTAATGAACTGCACATTGTCTGTTTCTACTTGACTTATTCAATGATGAAGTTTGTTCCTAACTTTAACCACAAGAGCATGACTTAAAATCAATTGGAACTGTGGATGCCGAATGTCTTTCTCTTCTTGCTAATCAATTATAAACAGTGGTGCGACTGTTAACGTTGGTATTGTGCTATACACCATATCCATCACATTTCCAATTAAAACGTCGATAACATTTATTTTCAGTGGGATAAATTATAAAAGCGAGTGTGGTGTAATGTAAATATTTTCATTCTTTTATAGTTTGTTTTTATCGTTCGCTTTATAAATAGGATTTATACTTTGTCAATGTTTAATACTAGTATTAAAAAGTTATTTGGAATTTAATGTAGAACTTTTTTTTTGTAAACACCAAGTGTAAACTTGGAACAAGCGTTACTGATAACTGGTATGTTAAAATATTGATACCATGAAACACTCCATATATCACATCTTACACTGATCTCATATATCATATTTCATATATCATATCTAACAATGACTTCATGTATCACATTTCATATATCATACTATCTAACAATGACTTCGTGTATCACCTTTCATATATCGCATCTAACACTGACTTCGTATATCACAGAGATTATTCCACATATCACATCTAATCAATACATTTCTCACACTAATTGTTACGTACAGTATATTGCAATTCATGTTTCACAAAAGAGCAATTCATATACCAGTATCAAAGGAAGCCAATGTTGTATTCATTCAAAGAGCTGATTCATTCAGGTTTATTTTCCCTGTGAATATACTGTTTGTTAAAAATCGATGTAAAATATGGAAATAAAATAAAGATGGGTCTTTGCAGTGATCATATACATATCCTTTAATCTGTAATATGTCTTGTCACTGTATAAAGTGCCGAGTTCCTTCAGCGATGTCAATGTGTCGCATGTGTTCTTACATTATCTAATTCTGAATCAGTCTCTAGCTATGATACAACATGGCCATTGCAAAGCTATATCTGATATGAATCAGTTGACATTTATATTATACTATATCATATAGAAAAAATAGCAAATCATATCTAAACCAAAATGTCAGTTTAACCAGCTGGACTTAAATCCTTGACATTAATATATGCTAGTAGGAACAGGTGGGTGTCTAGATGCCTAAATATTCTAAAATGTATCAATGATCAATGTATTTCACTTCAATAGTGTAACAGAGTTAATGATCAACCAAAAAGCAATGTAGCACATGTTAATGGTCAATTTAACATACATTAATGATCATTGCAATATACGTTAAATCATCAGTGCAAGAAACGTCAATACGTTAATGATCATTGCAATATACGTAAATGAGCATTGTAATATACGTTAATGAGCATTGCAATATACGTTAATGATCAGTGCAATATAAGTAAAAGATCAGTGCAATGTACGTTATTGATCAATGCAATATATGTTAATGATCAGTATCAGTGCAATTTACGTTATTGATCAATGCAATATGGCGTTAATGATCGGTGCAAGAAACGTCAATGATCAGTGCAATGTACGATATTGATCATTGCAATATACGTTAATCATGAGTGCAAGAAACGTTAATGCTCGGTGCAATGTACGTCATTGATCAATGCAATATACACTATTGATCATTGTAACATATGTAGCGATCGGGGCAACGAATGTCACTGATAACCCCCCTATCACACCAAACTAGTTCTTACCCGTTCTTGCCAGTCCTACGAAAACGTAGTTAAACGGGCTTAATCTGGCTGTGGTCGGGAAATATCTCCAAGATAATTAGCTACTTCGTTCATAAACAGTCTTCAATACGTCCATCTCATTCGCAGTTCGTTCAGGTCGTACCACGATCGGTGTGCAACGTCGTATAACGCGTCCCTTAGTCTAGAAGGTCATCATGACCTGATTACAGAACGGTATGGTCGCCATCGAATTTTGAATCGATTCAAAATTCTAAAATCACCTTCCCGTCTCAGAACGTTCATGAAGTTCGTAAATAGACCTTAGAAAGTTGCAGCTACGTTCATTCCGTTCGCACACAGTTTAAAACCAGTTTCTAAGAACGCAGTGGCAACTTGTTTGGTGTGATAGCTATATTTTTGCTAACTCGTTCATAAGCAGTCTTTAATACGTTCTTAGTCAGTTTAAAGCCGTTTGCAATTAGTTCTACCTCGTTCTCAATACGTCCTCAGACTGTTCAACTCGTTGTAAAAACGTCCCTAGTAGGATTGAAGTACGACGGTTCCGTTCGTAGTACGTCCAGCTCGTCGTTAGTACGTTGTCACTCGTTCTAATTGTAGAACGTGACGACCACGAGAACATTTTGAGCATGTTCTGAGTTCTAGAGGACCTACCCGTTCGAGCACGTTCGATGAAGTTTGTAAATAGACCCCAAACGGTTCTAAGTACGTCCAGTCCGTTCGTACACAGTTGAAGCCCGTTTTCGAGAACGTAGTAAGAACTAGTTTGGTGTGATAGTAGGGTTAGATTGAGAGCATCTTGAATGAATGAAGTGGACTTACCTTTGTGCTTAGTTTGACTTGAATGAGGCTCTCATACTTGTAAAGATTATCCAAGATGTACTGTTGAAACACATTAGTCCTTGTGTAGAACTTCTTCATTTGCCAACATCCCTCAATGTTATCAAAGTCTACACCAAGCTGCTGTAGAAAAAGCACACTTCGGGAGTCAATGCCGATCTGGTACCTTCGACTGAGAAGTTCATGCCGAGATTTACTCTCATAGACGATTATACGAGTACATTTCCCAGTGGCTGCAGCGATCAGAACTGATATCAGACCCACTGGACCCGCCCCTACCACGACGATCGTCACTTGTGCCCAGCGCTTTCTGAGGCTGTCATACGTCGTTTTTGTGCAGAGGAATACGGCAACAATGAGAATGGTGATGACGAATGTTTGTGCGATTGACGTATTGCTAAAGTTATGCAGTTCCATAATTTTTGTGTTTGTGTGACCACAAGTGCACATATACATTCCCTGTTAACTCTAAACAAACAATTCAAGCCAGCAACCTCTCCTCTTCTTCCTTACATGCGCCTCTGCTTTTTCTATCACCGATACATTTGCATTGTCCATAATAACAGATCTGTGTCAAGCACCAATATAGATCGTGTTTTACATCTTAGTCTCTACCAAAGTAGCAATAAGACCTCGTTGACTTTACCGTTTTCCAATTATCCGCCTGGGGAAGAAGCGTCCGTTTTTCTACAACTGTACTATAATTACTAAATAAAGCACCTCCGTAGAATAGCTCTGACTGATCGCCTTATTGATTAAGAGTTTGCAGATTGTCGTTCCTAAAGGCTGCATGTGCAAACATTTGTCTAGAAATCACATCTTGGAGCTCATAATGTTGCTGTGCGATAAATGATTACTTTACTAAACGTGTACTTTCGGGCCACTACTTCTTATCGTAATACAAGATGGTTTTAGAATTTATCGGTAATACAGTGTTAAGTTTATCGCGTTTAATCTAATTTTATTCATTAAGTATGTGTGCTATTCTAGATTCGATTATTTCAATCTTGTCAAATAAGTTTAAAGACATTCGATACATATGCAATGTTATATATCACGGTATACATTTAAATCCAAGTGTTTTATCCTCGTATATAGCACTTCACTGGCGAGTGTTTTACACTCAAATAATGACTGTACTGGCAAGTATTGCATATACCCCTATGTACATTGGCGAGTGTATTTTACTCTTCTATACTAGAACTATTTCGTACATGCTACTTAATGGTAAATGATTCATATGTACTTAAATAACAAATTTTATGAGTGAGTATAGGAGTTTTATGGACCTGGGCGTATTCAATGTAAAATGTTATTCACTACATACATTAGTAGGCAAAACAAAAGGTGCTGGTGGCATAACACGCCAAAATAAACCATAAACATACGTTTTGTCTACATCATGTTATTTCAACCATTTTTCCAATGCTACAGACGCTTAAAACGTAATCAGGAAGCTAAACAGATTACTTGAGATGATAATGGAACGTAGGGTGAAACAAGATGACTTTGGTTGATGAGTTCATATGTCAAAGTCTCATCATTCATTAGATGCCTAGTTAGCCTCATTATAACTCTGTATGCAGGGTGGTTGCTCCTATCATTTCCTATTCCAAGTACAACATGCCACAAAACACCAGCGTAATCTTTGGTTCTTGCAAGAAGTTCGCCAAGTTCTCGATCAAGGCATTTAAAATAATACGCCTTATATCAATAACATTTTCAAAGTCTTGCAGCTATTATAGTTTTCGATTGAGAAAAAGCATGACTGTAGATTCAATAACACATCCGAGACATCTCGTGTCTAATAAGTTGAAATAAGGACCTGACTTGGTTTCTAAGGAGAGGATATGTCATATGATAGGGCTTTACATAAAACTATTCAAGAACAGAATGTCTTATCTTGAGTTAGTATTCTATATGGCTTTACTGACAGCAAAAAACCTTCGGGAAATACACCTACAGCTTATTATATGGAGCTGGTGTAGATACTAGATATATCTAAAATAACTGATACCACGTGGGTTGCAGCTGGTAAGAAATTGTAGCTGGTGTTTTTCTTGATGGTTCTATTGTGTTATGACATTTGGCTTCATCTGGTGTATATATCCAGCACATACAAGTTGGTGTAGATCCAAAACAAACAGGGGATGGTGATATTTCTCTTCAAGGGTGGCCATGACCCATCATGCTGTATCACCATTGTTTAACTATTTTTTCCCATCGTCCAAGACTGAGAAAATTTGATACAATCTTTTTCACCCTTGAAACGATCAAGAGAACATATTGTGATAAGGAACATTTTTCAGAATTACCTAAATAAATAAATAAATGAACTTTTGATAGAATATGAATAGAATTGATCTCTTCCTTTGAATTAAAAAATGTTAATTACAATAAATGTAAACTTTAAAGATTTGTGGAAAATATGCAACATTATCCTATGCCAAGTGGAGTTTTAGGGTGATAATTTGGTAAGATATATCCCGTATCCTGATTTTGAGGTTTCCATATCCAGAACCTCCATATCTCCCGCCATATCTCCCGCTTCGGTGCATATCTTCCCGCTCCCGGTGCATATCTCCCTGCTTCCGGTAATGATGCAATAAAATGACTTAGCATATGAATGATTTGTTTATTTTTACACCTTGTACTATTGAAATGGCCATATGCCCCTGACAACTCTACTTGGTATAGGATAAAGCAGTTACGTACGGTCGGTTTAGATATTGGGTTCATCCCTCGTGACTACCTTCGGTCCCTACGGTCCCTCAGGTAGATATGCATACCTCCCTCTGGATAAACCCCATATCCAAAACCTCCCAGTACATAACCCTTATTTATGTAAATTCTACACATATTCGTATGTTATATCTTACAATGGAATAAACTGTTTAAAATAGTAACTCTATATTTGAATGCTCTGTCAGAAAACCTGGATGGTCCCCGGGGATGATCCCTTCACTAATGGCAGGATGTGATCATCCTTCAAGATCGGTCCTTCACTGCTTTCATAGCAGATCATGTAATGCAATGAATTACTCTTGGGCCAAGGATGGGATGTGATGTAGGGGTTAATTTAAACAGTTAATCTAAAGCTCTGTAAATACTTGGATTATATTATCAATATGAACAATGTATTCTCCTCTATCATCCTATTGTGTTAATTATAAATATCCACATAAAGCATAAAAATGTGAAAATGACCTACTTCATGGATAATTGGTATAATGAACATGAAATGACATTGAAATTGAACTAATAAGCAGTTTCAAGTTCTGGAATTTTGATGAGAAGATTTATGAGGTGACACCTGCACACCAATCCTAAAGCACATGACAGGAATGTTACACTTATAATATAGCAGTTTTCAAAGTGTAACATTCCAAAATGTTAATGTGGGCCAGTATGACCGAGAAACAAATCACACATACACGTTTGTATCCAAGTCTTTGCACAAGTACATGTGACTTCTCATGATGAAAGATGGCTACATCTTTATGGGCCCTTGTGGGATAAACGTGGCTGAATCGGAGTCATATGAGAAAATCCAATCTCTCATAGGAGATTTTGTAAATGTTATACATCGATAAAACCAGCAAATGTTGATCTCAAATGCATATTGACCAAGACTTGGTTAACAAGGCCTGACTTGCCTTATGTAGCTTATGGCTAGAGTTGAAGCTATTTGCTATATTAATTAAGGTTTAATCTCATTTTATGGCTGTATGTGAGATCAAGTTGCTTAATTGGTGATAACTATAGTCTGATAGTGTAATTTTCTGCAGCAAGAATCATCTGATCTTGGGCTCTGGAATGTTTTCAGTCTTTTATATATGCAACATCATGATATGTTATGAAAATATATCTAAAATTGATTCCATGCTGACTCAAAGAACAAATTTTCCTCAAAAATTGATTTTTCAGATGAAGATTCTAAAAAGGTTAGACTTCCACTACCCACTCCCAAAACATTGAATATGTGATTTAAGTTCTTCATGATGTAGTAATTTTCAGAGATAAAAGGTAAAAAATTCAAAAAAATTTGTTGCAAAATATCAATTTCAAAAAACAGATTTATAGAGCCTAAGTAGGTATTAGAATAGATACATCAGAGTTAGTTTTAAACACAGTAACTGTTTACCCCCCTGGAAATATGTGCATCTCACTGATTTCCCTTGGGATAAACCCTGTATCTAAAATCTTGAACCTTCTGTATTTCCTTATTTCTCCAAAGGTATGATAAGTGGCTATATGATCAAATGAATAGATTAAGTTGAACCAAAAAAACATTAATTCCTATTTGTTATATTATCCCTTTAAGTAATATATAGATTTATCTGATAAAAAGATGTGTGATTACTTTTCACTCATTTGCAAAGATCGAATTGTAATCTAAGCAAATGAATAAGCACTGTGACCTGTTAGTTGATACCTTCCAATAGCTTTTGTCTCAACATTTTCATAATATATAGTGTTTATCTTAATCAAAAGCATATGTGCAGTAAAGTGGTTTAATTTGGTGTTTTTTCAATTTGACAAATCAGCAATTTTGTAGAAGATTTTGTGAATTAAAATCTCAATTCAGTCATGAATTGCCAGTGTTATCCTACAGTATTTTTAAGATATTTTCACAAAACCAACCAAATAAAATAGCAGCCACTATACAGGCAATGGTGAAAATTAAAGCATCAAATTGAAACAGTTTACAGTATTTTTTATCCATGTTATTAGGTAAACTGTGTAACCTGATGTTTTTCATTAACCATTGTCTTTGGCTTACATTTAAATGAGTAACTAGTTTTATACCAACCGCAAGCTGATAAAAAATAAATACCTTGGCAGTGTTGAAGTTGTACATGTACAAACCTTCTTTATACCATCATTTGTCCAATCTGTGTTCGGTTAGTGCATATTTTATATATATCTAGATGGTAACTAGATAGGCAATTTTCAAGCTCTGTAATTTGAAAAGATTTGTCTTACTAAGTCTGTTGATGGGGTAATACAGAACTATAGATATTGCCCCTTCAGTCCCGTAGCCAGGATTGCCAAGGGGGGTTCACTTTTTGAAAAATTCCAGGGGGAGTTCACTTCTGACAATTTTGGCCCAAAAATGGCAAAAATCACTTATTAGAAATTGCTCAGAATGATGAAAAACTACATGATTTTGAAAGAATTTTTGGCCTGCCCTTTAAATACCCATATTATCCAATGCCTGTATTGTTTTCTGATAATCATTTGAAAACAACAATATGTCTTTTTGGAAACTTGAGCTGTATATTACTATGTTTAATTTACTGCACTATATTTTCACCATATCACTGTTTTGCCTGCATCCTCTGAGCTTTAAATTTTGATATTTTCTTTGGGGGATTGGATATTGGATTGTCAGTTTTACATTCCATCCTTTTATGTTGAGAAGGTCCTTGTCCTGCCAAAATGTTTTCAGTTGTAGTTAGATTGTCTTTTTCTTCTATTACAGGATCAGGTGTTCTTTCAACAATTTTCCCAGAAAATGCCTGAAAGAAAATACAGTAGTTCAATTAATAATGTATGATATATAAAAGATAAATGGGATGGCTTTTACAACCAAAGGCAGTTATCAACCTTTTGGATACAGCCTATGTTAGGGTAAATAAACATTTTTTCCATAACTTTATTGATCCATTATACATTCAATTTACAAAGTGATACACTGGACTATCCATTTGTTATCTCTATTATTTTTTACTAAACTGCATATTATTGCAACACTATATTGTATTGAATTGTGGGATATTGTTTGGTTTAATCTTAAATCTTGTCAAGCCAACTTAATTTCTGACAAAATGTCAATAATTTATTGATATTATTGTTATTACTACTATTTAATTCTAATTTATCGATAATATTCTCTAATCAGTATTTAACAAAATCAGAAATAGCAATTGAGAAATCAGACTACAACCGGCAGATATTCTGGAAAGTACACTTACTGCTAATGAACTGGTGAGCAGAGGTTTTTCCAGTCTCTCTTCTTTTATTTCCGCAGTGCTAGCTTTGAGTATTGAGCGAGGCCCATCATTTGTAAATAGCCTATAGATGTCTCTGGGAGATTCTATTTGGTCATTATTATTTGGACTTTCCTAAAAGTAGTTTTTCAAAATCATTTTGTGTATATCATTTAATTTTTACTTGTAGTTTAGTTTAGCAAAACAATTATCATATAAACAAAATTAATGATGCGACTTTTAAATTATCAAAGTTCAACAGTTAAATAGATTTTGGGTATGGACCTGCTCTGAAGTTTTATCAGGAGATGGCCCATGACTGAAGTTGATCACACGTGGGGACTCTATGGCCTCATCACTACTGTATTCCTCCTCCGAATATGAACCAGAACTACTTTCAAAGCTGTCTTCTGATTCTGTCTGCTCATTCCCAGCCCATGTGACATGTTTTTGCGTCCTCTCTGGGAGCTGATTGGAACTATCTTCAGCATCAGATAAACTGAAATCAAATAAAAACAAGGCATTTAAATGCAAAATGTCACCACCAGCCATTTTTAAAGACAGTGACCACTGAATGCCGACCACCAACTATCAAACACCAACCACTGAATACCATCCACAAAAAGTTGTAGACCACCACAATAAAAACTAGACATGTAAATTGAACAAGTTCAATTTAAGACTCCAGATTTAAAACTTTTTTTAAGCTGAGTCATCCAGTACTTGTAAGCTGAGTCATTCAGAATAAGCTGAGTCAGCTAGAATATAGACATTTAGACAACTTTTAAGAAGGCTATCTTCGACTCTATTGGCTTAACATGGGGATATCATCATATCGACTTTTCGAGACTTCAAACCGCTATAACTATCTAACCAGAAGTTAGATTGAAATTTGGTTTAAAGATTCTGATTTCTGAGAAAATTCTACCCCTAATTCATAACTCATACGTTAAATTTGGAGAATTTTTTATTTTGACCTACATTTCGGACACCATATCTCAAAATTGGGTCAAAAAACTTTCTGACGGCAGAAGGCTAACACTATAAGCACACTCTTTGCTACCTGTATACAAAATTTTGAACCAAATCCTTAAAGTGTAATGTCAGAATCGCAAAAATAAGGAAAAACTATGAATTTGACCTAGATCTTGACCAAGGCATTTTTGCGTCCAAATTTTAAAGCTAGATAGCCTTCGAGGTCCCCTCCTTTTATAGGCTTTCAGAATATTAAGCTGTACTCAGTCTATATCTGGTATTTTACACTTCAAAAAATCCTTTTTCTCATTGACATAACATGGGGCACCAAATTTAGCGATTTTTGAGCTTTCAAAACGCCATAACTTTCAAACCGGAAGTCGGATCGAAATTTGGTTTGCAGATCCAGATTCCTGACAAAATTCTACCCCTAATTCATAACTCATACGTTAAATTTGGAATTTTTTTATTTTGACCTACTTTTTGGACACGCCATAACTTCCGAACCGGAAGTCGGATTGAAATTTGGTTTGCAGATTCAGATTCCTGAGAAAATTCTACCCTTAATTCATAACTCATACGTTGAATCTGGAGAACTTTTTATTTTGACCTACTTTTCGGACACCATATCTCAAAAGTGGGTCAAAATACTTTCTGACGGCAAAAGGCTAACACTATTAGCACACTCTTTGCTACCTGTATACAAAATTTTGAAGTAAATTATTAAAGTGTAGTGTCAGAATCGTAAAAATAAGGAAAAACTATGAATTTGACCTAGATTTTGACCTAGGCATTTTGGTGTCCAAATTTTGAAGATATGTAGCTTTTGAGGTCCCCTTCTTTTATAAGCATTCATTATGTTAAGCTGTACTCAGTCAATATCCTGTATTTTACAGTTCGAAAAAGTCTTTTTTCCCATTGACTTAACATAGGCACCAAATTTAGCGATTTTTGAGCTTTCAAAACGCCATAACTTCCGAACCGGAAGGCCGATCCAAATTTGGTTTGCAGATTCGGATTCCTGAGATCATTCTACACTTATTTCATAACTCACATGTTGAATTTGGAGAGTTTTTTGTTCTGACCTACTTTTCGGACGCAATATCTCAAAATCGGTAAGAGTAATCAAAAAACGATTTGCCTTTCGGAATTAGCGTTTTTTCCAAGGAACATGATGAAAAAAACCCGGATCAAAAATATTGAAAGACGACTGAGAAAAGTGGTGAATTAGTGAAAATCCAAGATTTGACCTAGTTCTTGACCTATGACCTAGATAGAAATTTGACCTAATTTCCCAGAAAGCCGGATACAGTTCTTAGTTAACCATGTTAGTTGGATTAAGTAAGCTGTTATAGTTGACGAGAAATTTGGTGAGGAGGAAGAATAATAATAATAATAATAAAGAAAACAGGCAAAAACAATAGACTCCAGATTTTCAATCTGGAGTCTAATAATCAATGACAAAAATCTACAGTTTCTCATTTCAAAATAAAAAGCTCTGCATTTTACATTGTCAAAATAGCTCCCAAAAAGGATACAAACATACTAATTCAGCATAACTTACTTCTCGGCTGTCATTTCCCGGGCCTTGAATTCTGCAAGTTCTAATTGGTCTAGCCTGGCCCATAGTTCAGCATCTGTTGTTACTGTTCTTTCTTCCTGCTTTTGATTCTCACGTTCCTTCTTCTGTTTAGCATAGTGAGCTTTCACAGAGGCTTTGTGTTTTTCTAAAACAGACAATAAAAAACCTGGTCAAATAACTAACTTTTTTTGTTTAATCATTTTTTTATTCATAGAAAAAACATTTGAAAGCAGTTACATTTACATATAAAATATACATAATATCATAGTAGTCACACAATTTTCCCTCATATTCTTTGGGGCATCTAGATAAGATTAGACTCGTGTGGTTCTTATTGTTTTTAACTAACCAAAAGATGGCATTTTATGTCTCCCCTTGAAAAAAATTCAATGACACATAAATTCTACACAGCCAATATAATTCGGCACCGTTTCGGCATCGAAAAAATTCAGCGCTGTTCTGGCACCGTTCCGGCACCGAAACCTTTTGACACCAAAATTTGCCACCAGACTAGTCTGTCCATTTGGTCCCATTTCGAAATTTGGCACCGAAACGGCGTTGAAAATCAGATTGCATTTTGGGGGTGTACCTCAGTTCTTACAAGTCAGTGGAATGAATGATTAACAATATTGTCATGTCATTTCTATAATATTGTCATGCCATTTCTACTAGACACCCATTGAATATTTATCACATTGATATATTACAAAGAAGAAGAGAGTATTTGTATAAAATGAAATTGAATGAATAAACTGACATTTTCGATGACATTCTAAATCTCATTACAAGCATATTTCAGAAAGGATATTATCAGTACTTAATTATTTATTAGCATATTTCTTTTATTATTAATTATTTTTCATTCATTTACATGAAAGTGATTTCCACTCAGGCTTGCGAGAAATTTAAATTTGACGTGAACTGTACATTTTCTTAAGTTACTTGAATTCGTTTCTGTGTTTTGAATTTTGGCTCAAAACTTTAAAAAAGGCATAAACAAGCAAAATGTCACCACCTGCTATTTGCTACAGATGCTGATCACCAGACACTGAACACAAAATGCTAACACCAACCACCAAAACCAAATGCTGAACAGTTGGAGACTATAACAATATGTCATCACTTGTGGTGGTGACATAATTATCTATCAAAAATGTCACATGGGAGGGTAGTAATATTAACAAGCCTCTCTCTGGGCTTCAAGAGCAAATAAATGTTTAATTACCTCTCCAAAGTTTATCTTGATCGTCAGTGAGTTCCTCTTTAATCTCACGATGATCAGTACCTTGTTGCATCTCACACAATTCACCAGTGACATCTATACGAGGTGCTAAAAGGTCCCTCTGTCTGGTTAGGTCAGACAGCTGCTTGTCAATACCTACATATCACAAATAAAAGTACATTTTGTTACTTATGTGTACACATATTGTGCAGTACCACTGATGGATCCAAAAGCTAACAAAGAGGGGGGGGGGCAAATTTCAAATCCTCCTGGATCCACCAGTGAGTACAATAGCAGACTCCAACTCCAATAAACATTCCTTACTTTTTAATCTTCTGTCTATGATACCACAGGCCTGCGTGGATGATCTCTCAGCAAACCAGTTGTCTCCCAATAGAACCAGTATCTCATTACAATGGACCAGTTGACCAGGCATGAAAGCTTTACTGCCAAATGGTACCTACAACATATGACAATGTATTACATACATAGCGAAGCATTTGTATGGAAGTCAATGGACCTGAAGGTCGGCTATATATTCCTGTATAGCTGCCAAACTTTGGTCCGTCAGACCTCAGGTATATATTCAATGATAGGGACATAATGGCTAAATATATAACTGAGCATGTACTCTACATTTGGAATAGGATAAATTGTACAAGAAATACGAAGGTGTTTTTCTCAAAATTATTAGCTGTTCTATGAAATATTTCAACTGCTTTCATGTTAAAATTATATTTCTCCAGTTCTTTTCATTTGTTCGGGCCCGTTGTCACGAATTGCGATGAAACTCAGACTTATTGGGAAGGTCAATTTCCCACGAAATTCCAAAAGTTTCATTATAAGCAACAGGCCTCGAGTAGGGATTTTAGTCTACTCTGGAGGTCAACATAAGAAACTATAGATGTCTTACCATAATGTCATCCTTCACTTTCTCAGGTAGGGATTTTAGTCTACTCTGTTGGTCAACATAAGAAACTATAGATGTCTTACCATAATGTCATCCTTCACTTTCTCAGGTAGGGATTTTAGTCTACTCTGTTGGTCAACATAAGAAACTATAGATGTCTTACCATAATGTCATCCTTCACTTTCTCAGGTAGGAATTTTAGTCTACTCTGTAGGTCAATATAAGAAACTATAGATGTCTCACCATAATGTCATGCTTCACTTTCTCAGGTAGGGATTTTAGTCTACTCTGGAGGTCAACATAGTCACTCCTAAACTTGTTCCTAAAACATACATTAACAACACTTAATATCAGTTTCATGGTTCAAATAGTTTTCTACAGATGTAAACCTCACCCCGGATTAGCCTGACTACGGTAAAGTCAGATACCGTTGTCACAAATGGCGGACATAACCGTCGCTTCAATTAGATTTTCATGAACTGTATGTTTAATAGAGCACCTAGACTAAATTCCTTTGGAACAACAATCAATCAAAGTGTCTTAATACTCATTGTACATTTGATAATGTTCTACCATCGAAATAAAGTCTTTAATTTAACAGATCAAAATGATATGCGGGACAACGGACACTGTAATTACCTTATGCCGTTGTCTTTCTAAATTACTCAAATTCAGATTCCGTTGTCATTCACGATATCGAAGAGGCTATATTGTGGCGATTCACGACCAAATTTGATCGAAAATGGGATTTCATATGATACATTATCACAAGAGCTTAATGCATGCACAGAATTAACGACGATAAAATCCCATGAAATGAGGACCAAGTGATTAAACAGTTGAAGCGACGGTTATGTCCGCCATTTGTGACAACGGTATCTGACTTTACCGTAGTCAGGCTATTCCGGTGTGAACCTGTTGCATGAGAAATGACTATTTTTCTATCTCCTTAACAACACACATACCCTACGCGCACAGTCTAGTTATAAACTACTCTTTGCCTTGTATAACTATATTGCAGATTATCACTTCACTCCAAAGATAGGTGACTTTGACAGCCCGGGTAATAAATAATTTCAATTCTACCACGCTGACCCTTTCTCTACCAATCAGCAAAGTGGAAGGAATATGTGCTGGATACTTGCTCATTGATTATGTGGTGATGTCAGAGGAAATGACCTATGGAAAGTCATCTGTATTTTGATGCAAACTCTGATTTGCTTGGTGAGCTCAGAGATTTATTGTAAACTGAGAGTGAAGATCTCAAGGGCACAACATACAGTAAAACCTGTCTAAGTGGAACATATTTGGTGTTCCACTTGGGAGGTGTTCCACTTCTCCAGGTTCATTTAAAATTTAGTCAGTTGGTCTTGGGATTCTGAAGTGTTCCACTAACAGAGGTGTTCCTACTTAACAGGTTTCACTGTACATTGTATAAAATGTTATTTGTTCCATTTCACCATAATAGGGGTGAAATCTCACTAATTCTCATTTTAAACCTTGGTTTATTTGTTTGATAACCAAAATTCATGATTAATCACAACATGTACATTGGCACTGTCATTTGAATTACAGGCAAATTCAACCAATACTTTTTCATAAATCATGAAATTAAATGACTATTGCAAATTTATATAACATGTAAATTTATGGCAGTCTGGTCCACCCAAAGGAAAAAATATACAAGGGTGACATCTATCATATCAGCTTTATTCAGCTATATAGAAACTTGCTAATTATCCATAAATGGTGAAGTACTGTACAATTAATCACATACAGTATAAAGATGAATGTAATATAAAGGAAATGCATAATTAATGTTGTTGTTCATGTAAATAATGCTAGTTGCACATAATAAATTTTGATCAACAATACTAAGAAAAAGATCCAGTAATTCATTAGTTCAAGTGGCTTCATGACTTACAAATAAAATTGAAATAAATCCTAAGTTATATTTCCGATATTCAGAATACAATACAAACCTTTTCAAAAATTAATATGAAACCTCCTGAGTTATCTATCTTTAAGATTCTTTTTTAGGATATTTTAGGAATATAGGATATTTTAAGATCAGATTTTTTTTTTAAATTCATTTACTCATTCTTCATACAAAACACAGCAAATCCTACAAAGAAAAGCTTGACAAGGCAAGAGGATCTTCTGATATGCCCAAGATCAGAGTTAAAGGTTGAGTCGCTTTAAGCCTTACCATTGCTTTATGTTTTCATCTGTTTGTTCAACAGCCTTTTCCTGCTCTTCTCTCAAACGTTCATACCCCCTCAGTTCATCAGGAATTTCATTAGTCTGACCACTTGCCATGTCTTCAATATATTTTGGCCCTGCAAATTATCAATCATGTTAGATGAGTGCTAAGCTGGGGATGTAGCTATCTAAACATTGGGACACATCACTGGTCCAAATTCCAATGGTCCGAATTCCATTCATCAAAACCTCGATGGTCTGAATCCCAATCGTCCGAATCCCCTTCATCCAAATCCCAATCGTTCAAATTAACTGAATTACGGCCTTACACTAAAAATAAATCCCTGTGGGTTTTATTCTGCATATGATGAGTCATGTTGATCATAAAATTTCAACTCAAACACCCACTATTTTTTCACTTCAGAATTTGAAATGTGATTTTATCACAAAAATTTCAAAACACAAACGAAGTGATCAATGTATTTGTTCAAATCTTTTTGATTGCTACTTTCAATTTACAGCCAGTTATAATCAATGTCAGACATTATGACATTTTCGTCCAATTTTCATTATCGAATATCGGCCATTTTTCTTGGAGCTGTTGCTTAAGGAAAGTGTTTGTTTCAATTCTAATTGATGAAATATTTTCATTACGGTTTTGAAAATAGCATATAAATTTTAATTCTTCCAAGACAAACTTTTTAATGAGTGCGCAGACAGGCCCGTAGCCAGGGGGGTTCGCAGGGTTCGGGCGAACCCCCCCCCCTGGCCAAAAATTCTTTCAAAATCATGCAGTTTTTCACCATTTTGAGCACTTCTCTTGTGATTTTAGCCATATTTGGGCCAAAATTGTCAAATGTGAACCCCCCTCTGGAAATTTTTGAAAACTGAACCCCCCCCCCCCCCCTTGGCAAATCCTGGCTACGGGCCTGGCAGACATGCCAAGACTTCTAGCCAAATAATTGGCAAGAGACAAGAGGGTTTCACTGGAATTTCTCACAACAGGCTAAATGAATGAAAAGTTGAAAACAAGAGGCAAAATCAATGGAAATCATAAATTTAATATGGAGAAGTTGAAAAGTCCCTAAAAACAACAGGCGATTTTGTGAAAACAACGGGTGAAAATCACCTGTTGCCTGCTGCTATTGAAACCCCTGGATCAGTTAACAAAATGTATAACATACAAAATTTAGGAATAAACTCATTAGAAGAATAGCTTTAGTAATCTATTGAACTTGAAGAGAGTATATCACTGTAACAACCAGCAGCTATATCCACAATTACACCATGCTAGGGGAAAACCTAAAGGTTTTGTATATTTTACATTTTGTATATACTTTAAACTCCTAATGTATGGTCACTTGAAAATTCTCTTCTTTCTAACATGGGAAATCCTCATTTCAGCAAATCCAGATGTCATTTATTTATGGTGAGCACTGTATTTTATCTGTCACAGTCCAATTTTTAATGGGCTGAAACCAAACCATACAGATGTAGATTTATTTTTGAATGTAAAGGTTTTAAATAATATTATTTTCAAATTCTATCAGTTTTAAGGTAGTCCTTCAATAACTATTGCGCAGTCAGTTCGCGTTACTCGAGTGTCTAGCAAATTCTTGGCTAGAAGTAATTCCATCTGGAACACCATGAACTATTGCAAAATTTCCAGTCCGGGTTCAATAAATTTAAGCTATATATTCTAAAAACCGTCATGTTAATATATCATGAATTGAAATGGAACTGGTTGGGCTCCTTGATGAAATGTTTGTTCGATGCTCCGATGTTCGCATTTTATTAAGCTCTCGTAAAATAAACGAACAAACATTCCATTTTCACACATGTTCGGTAATATAACGTATCATAACTTCAGGAAATGACAACCCACTCAGAACATTTTTGGAAATTTTTTCAGTTCATTTACATTTCTTGTATAACTGTACTTATTGTTGATCGGACGGAGAGATAAGCTGATGTAGTTACATTGGAGCTCGTTCACTGCCATTTGGAAGGCACGTGAGGGTCCCAATCATCAGATAACACTTATAATATATATCGAAGTTAAGTTCTTGCCTTGCCTCTAGAACTGAATTGCAAAAAAAGGCTGATACCCTGTGAGGTACTACCTTAAAATATATATCTGATTTAAATGGACTTATAAGTAGTGTTGTCGCGATGTGCCATAATCATACATCGATGCATCAGCAATTTTCAGTAGTAAACATCGATGCACATCGCGAAGTACATCGAGAAAAAGTTCGAGAAAAGTGCACTGAAATACCGAACGCTAATGCACTAAAATATCGAACAGAACAAATTAATAAGAGTACGCTGGTACATCTGGGAACATAGTAACGGTGAAATGAAAGTAAAGTAATTTTTTTAGATTAATGGTTCATTTGGACTAGCTAAAACAGTTTTAAAGCGAAAGAATATCGGAAAACATTTGAAAATGAAATAAGACATGAAAAAAGGTAAGCAATTTGCGTCAAAATAAGATAAGAAAGGGCGATTTTTAGCAAATTAAAATATTTTAAAAACATCGATGTTTTGTTTCAGACATCGATGCATCGCCAGAACCAGCTTTGGCGATGTATATCGCGATGCATCGATTAATCACGACAACACTACTTATAAGCCTTTTCAAGATTAATGATATGAACAGTAATTATTCCCGGCAATGATATTAGCTTTTCGTGCAGTGTAGTTCTAGTCAAATTTAGAAAACAATGTTTCACTACGATTTTTGAGACATCTCCGAGTGTAATACTAGAAACTGTTGCTGTTTTTTCAATCTTTGGTATATAATCTATTTGATTCTAGCGATACACTATTAAAATTCTCACCTAAATATCTATAATGTCAAATTACATTCCCAAATTTGTATCGTGCTTTGAGGGCGCAGCCATTTTGAATTCTAAGACCCCTTGTGCAAATCAGAAAAATATTAAAAATAGTTATTGTCATACATACGGAGTCTTGTTATAATATTTTATAAATTGAATAAATGTTTGAATGACGGTGATAGGTTTTGAATGAAAAAATGTTTGCTTTGGTAGAAAGACATGGATAAAATCATTTTCAAATAGAAACACTTGTAACTTAAGGGGTCTTCAAAATGTCTGCTCTAAAAAATCTCAACTGCAAAAATTTGATTTATAAAACTTACAATTATGTAGATTCTGTTTTATTCAAAGATAAGATAATAAGTTCAAGGTAAGATGGAATATAGTTAGCATGCATTCGCCATGATACGAAATGCATTCTTGATTGAAATTCACTTTTTAGATGTAGACTCTATTTTGTTTTTTTCAAAAATTAATTTATTCAGATGATATTTTTATTGCACTCTTGTCAAGGAGGATTGGATCCCAGGGTTCCCACTTCCAAGTCATACATTTTTAATCTCCAGGCAATTAGTTCCGTGCTTCAGGCCGTCCAACTGTCCCGCTATTTGCATATTTGTCACACATTTGCTGATAAATTTGAAGTCATGCCATTTTTTGCGTGACAGAATATACGCAAATACGCATTTTACATGATTATTGTCAAGCAAATATATTTCTGTAGAAAAACTTCAAAACAGTGATCGCTGATACAGCAAAATAATGAACACCGAAAAAAGCCAAAGTGATGAGTGATTCTCTATGTGCAGCAGAATCTACTCTGAACTACCATGCCAGATGAGTGCATTGAATAGACGGGATGCGTGTAGAAATAATCTTGATTTACGTCATTAAATATTTGAAATATACATGTAAAAGTACATCCAGAAATATGGTTTTGAATATTGTTTATCAACTTTTGATTTTTTTTTTTGAAAATGTGACTTCTAGTTTGAATCGTACCACTAAAACTGATGAATAGTTAATTAAGTTAAAGGGAACTTTCTACTTTACCTGCCATGCTATCTCACCCGAATAAGCCACCTGGTGGTGAAACTGGAAATTACCTACATGCATCTGAGTTATTGAAAGATTCCCACCCACAATATATTGATCTCAGCCTTTGATATATATACATGTATAGATGTCAAGATGAAAGGGATGACATTTTGTTTTATAAGAAGCACTTAGTATTCCAAAGAAAATAAAAAATATTTTGACATTGACATATTTTTTTTAATTGTTGTGACATTAAATTATTAAGATGCCAAGGCAACTTACTGCTATTAGATCTTCTCCCCCATAAAACATGCTAAATAATTTTCTATAGAAAAACGTGACCATTTACTGAGTGCTATATATTTCTTTATTTTTCAGAATATGCACTAACCTTGAGATAACCAGGGGTAGAAGAAGAACTAGTAAACCTGCACCATTTTGGGCCAGAAAAAAGACTAAATTATTGGACTTTGACTTAACCAAAGAAAACAGGAATTTTGTACAGGAAGTAGCCGAGGAAAAATATGTTAAGCAAATGGCATCCCCCTTGAGGGAACCCCCTTGGGAAAGACATCCATGGACTCTCAGACCAACGTAACTATTTTCTTATTTATTAAAGGCCCCATGTAAACTTTAAACCACCTTGGGTTATAAATTAGTCTTAATTATTACAATTAAGATATGATGTTCAGTTATCCAGTTAGAAATTGCATAAAAATAAAATTGAATGACTGAAAAAATGTAGGTTTTACAAGCAATCTTTTTTTGTGTTCAAAGCAAATGTTGTGTTTACACTAATTAAAGAGTTTCATAACCTTGTTCTATATGATGTATTTTTTTCAGCACGCTTAGAGCAGGTGTTTTAGGAATAAAGCTTGGTGTGCTGCCTCAGTGGACAGTAGAGGGAAAGAAAATATATGTTACACTTTATCAGGTAAGTCTGGATTTACTTATTCAATGGGTGAAGCCAGTGCTCTTTCCATATTGAAACCCATCACTCAGCAATACCAAGTGAATTAGTAATAATATTTGCTTGGGTAATTCAAAGTGCCTTGAAAGACGTATGATTCATATGTTCAAGAAATCCTTCATCCCCCCTGAGAGCATTGGTCACATTATGAACATTAAGGGGAGAACATTATGTGAATTTATTCAATTAATATTTCTAGGCATTGTCTGACTTCAAAACTTAACATACACATAATTTATACTTATAAACAATGAGTGACCTATATTGCATACTCACTCACCTCTTTGATTTCCAATCACGCTGACATCATCTGATTGGTGCACAGGATTTAATGTGCACCAATCAGATGGTTTGTTTGTTTTATCTAGGATCTCATTGGTTCTATTCTGGCTCCTTTTTAAGCATAGTTAATCCCTCTTGGATGTCTATTAACGAGGTTGACTTCTCAGCCTCTATTTACCTAATGTATAAGAATAAGCATTATGTAGACTGAATAAGATGTTATCTTATTCATCAACCCTCAATCTATGAAAAAATAATAGGATTTAGAGCAGGGATTTAAGCCTCAGATTTTAAGGCATAAAAATTCATATCTTGGTAATCCAAGATGCCATATTGGTCGAAAATGATATCATATAAAATTATGTTTTATTCAGCAATGGGCTGAAATGTACCAGCCTTTCGCAACAACAATGAAGATATGAGGTTAACATAGTGCAGTATTGTAACCTTAGCAACCATCTACTAATTTAGGGTTTGACACAAGGTCCTTAACAGGAGTAGCACTCACTGCAGTTAATTTTCCACAATTTGGAAATTGTAATCCACATAATTATGAGCAGGGCTTCAGGCTTGAGCTAAGGGCCAGTCCACTGGTCATTTGCCAGGTAACTTTCCATATGGACCTGTTGATTTTTTCAGTAGTAGGAAAATAACATGGCAACTGGTCTGCAATGCCATTTTAACCAAATGCCCTCAGAACCTTAGCTCAGCCCCCGATTATGAGTACTGTACATACATAATGTATTTGAGTTATGGGAATTGCCCGAGTGTCCCAAGTTTGGAGAAATTGGTGATTTGAAGCCATAAAACTTTTCATCGCAAAGCTGTATGTTTGACCACTTTGATCATGTTCAGTCTAATTCAATATAAAGTCAAAACACTAGAGGGACACAAAATTATGTTTTCGATTCATCAATATCAGAAATCATACCTGCCAAGTATAGTGGATATATCTAGTTTAAAATATAGTCTATTGCCACTTTGACAATCACCTTTGCACGTCTATTGGCAAGAGTAAAAGTGATTGCCATTTGCAATGAGGCATGGCAACATTCTATTCAATAAGCACAATGTTTTGATGTGTTCCATAAATCAACAAGGTTCCTTTTTTACATAAAATATCATTTTTATGTTCATGAAATTACATTTTACCCATTTTATAAAAATTATAGTGCTATTAATTGGTGTTATGTCGATTTTACTATTGTAATATTATATTTTATTTGCCGCTTTGATGACATTTTGCAGGTAGTAGGTAAAGGGCTGTAAATATATACATTAATGTCTTTACAATGTACTTTTGAATTCATTTTATCATATATTTTTCCATTTAAAATGTTGGTTAAATACATCAGGGATTCAAGATAACATTTGTTTTTATTACATAATTTATCAGGAATATTTATTTTTTAATTAATTCATACTGCCCTAGTTAATGGTAATTTTGCTTGGCATTAGAAATCAACAGTCGATCAACAGAAAATGAAGAGATGGATATTCTGCATCTCTTCTACTATGGCTGAGGTCTGAGACATAGCTGTTATCATCATCATTAAAGAACATATGATGAAATTGTAATTTTTTTAAATTGTACATAAGAAATATGCTTGTTTTTAGTTTTACATACCTTTGACTGACTAACTACTTTCTAGTCACTTCAATATACAGATACACATATACATATATCATTTATATTACCATAAAAGTTAACTTAAACATGCATCAGCAACTTGTTGTAATAATCACATTTTTCAATTTGAAATGAACTTTGTAATAGTTTTGTTTTTGTTTGTTGAGATCACATTGATGTTTAATTCCCCATTCCAGTTCATCAACTATGTTACTTTATGACAAATAATATTGCATTAGATCCGTATGCTGTCTCCATTTGACATTGTTTATACTATACTATAATTATGTCACCACCAAAAGTGGTGACATATTGTTATGGTCTCCGTTTTTTTGCGACGGCGTCCGGCGGTTGGTGGTTGGCGGTTGGCGTCCGGCGTCTGTAACAATTTCTTACAACTTCCTCTAACTTAACAAATACTGTTTAGACTGACTTCAATTTTTTTCTAAATCATCTACATGTTCTCAGAAGTTCAAATCTGACTTTAGATTTGACATTTGACCTTCAATGACCTTCTCAAGGTCAAAAAGGTCTTTTTTCAACTTGCTTCACATTGACTAAATTTTTTTCAAAAAACTTAACAAATACTGTTTAGACTGACTTCAATTTTTTTCTAAATCATCTACATGTTCTCAGAAGTTCAAATCTGACTTTAGATTTGACATTTGACCTTCAATGACCTTCTCAAGGTCAAAAAGGTCTTTTTTCAACTTGCTTCACATTGACTAAATTTTTTTCAAAATCATCTACATGTTCTCAGAAATTCAAATCTGACTTTAGATTTGACATTTGACCTTCAAATCTGACTTTAGATTTGACATTTGACCTTCAATGACCTTCTCAAGGTCAAAAAAGGTCAAAAAGGTCTGTTTTCAACTTGCTTCAAATTGACTAAATTTTTTTTTCAAAATCATCTACGTGTTCTCAGAAATTCAAATCTGACTTAAGATTTGACATTTGACCTTCAATGACCTTCTCAAGGTCAAAAAAGGTCAAAAAGGTCTGTTTTCAACTTGCTTCAAATTGACTAAATTTTTTTTTCAAAATCATCTACGTGTTCTCAGAAATTCAAATCTGACTTAAGATTTGACATTTGACCTTCAATGACCTTCTCAAGGTCAAAAAAGGTCAAAAAGGTCTGTTTTCAACTTGCTTCAAATTGACTAAAAAAAATTTTCAAAATCATCTACGTGTTCTCAGAAATTCAAATCTGACTTTAGATTTGACTTAAGATTTGACATTTGACCTTCAATGACCTTCTCAAAGTCAAAAAAGGTCAAAAAGGTCTTTTTTCAACTTGCTTCAAATTGACTAAATTTTTTTTTCAAAATCATCTACATGTTCTCAGAAATTCAAATCTGACTTTAGATTTGACATTTGACCTTCAATGACCTTCTCAAGGTCAAAAAAGGTCAAAAAGGTTTGTTTTCAACTTGCTTCAAATTGACTAAATTTTTTTTTCAAAATCATCTACATGTTCTCAGAAATTCAAATCTGACTTAAGATTTGACTTAAGATTTGACATTTGACCTTCAATGACCTTCTCAAGGTCAAAAAAGGTCAAAAAGGTCTGTTTCAACTTGCTTCAAATTGACTAATTTTTTTTTTCAAAATCATCTACTTGTTCTCAGAAATTCAAATCTGACTTTAGATTTGACATTTGACCTTTAATGACCTTCTCAAGGTCAAAAAAGGTCAAAAAGGTCTGTTTTCAACTTTCTTCAAATTGACTAAAAAAAATTTCAAAATCATCTACGTGTTCTCAGAAATTCAAATCTGACTTTAGATTTGACTTTTGACCTTCAATGACCTTCTCAAAGTCAAAAAAGGTCAAAAAGGTCTTTTTTCAACTTGCTTCAAATTGACTAATTTTTTTTTTCAAAATCATCTACATGTTCTCAGAAATTCAAATCTGACTTTAGATTTGACATTTGACCTTTAATGACCTTCTCAAAGTCAAAAAAGGTCAAAAAGGTCTTTTTTCAACTTGCTTCAAATTGACTAATTTTTTTTTTCAAAATCATCTACATGTTCTCAGAAATTCAAATCTGACTTTAGATTTGACATTTGACCTTTAATGACCTTTTCAAGGTCAAAAAAGGTCAAAAAGGTCTGTTTCAACTTGCTTCAAATTGACTAAAAAAAATTTCAAAATCATCTACGTGTTCTCAGAAATTCAAATCTGACTTTAGATTTGACTTAAGATTTGACAATTGACCTTCAATGACCTTCTCAAAGTCAAAAAAGGTCAAAAAGGTCTTTTTTCAACTTGCTTCAAATTGACTAAATTTTTTTTTCAAAATCATCTACATGTTCTCAGAAATTCAAATCTGACTTTAGATTTGACATTTGACCTTCAATGACCTTCTCAATGTCAAAAAAGGTCAAAAAGGTATTTTTTCATCTTGCTTCAAATTGACTAAATTTTTTTTCAAAATCATCTACATGTTCTCAGAAATTCAAATATGACTTTAGATTTGACATTTGACCTTCAATGACCTTCTCAAGGTCAAAAAAGGTCAAAAAGGTCTTTTTTCAACTTGCTTCAAATTGACTAATTTTTTTTTTCAAAATCATCTACATGTTCTCAGAAATTCAAATCTGACTTTAGATTTGACATTTGACCTTTAATGACCTTCTCAAGGTCAAAAAGGTCAAAAAGATCTGTTTTCAACTTGCTTCAAATTGACCAAATTTTTTTTTCAAAATCATCTACATCTTTTCAGAAGTTCTAATTTGACTTTACAAGTTCTCAGAAATTCAAATCTGACTTAAGTTTGAACTCATAATATTGTGAGCAACTAGGTGGTGACATTTTGTCATGTTAATGCCTTGTTGACATTTGATCCAGTTACTCAGATGCGAGTAGGTAGTTACCAGTTTCGCCACCAGGTGGCTTATTCGGGGTAATTAACATGGCAGGGTATTACAAAATTCCCTTAAACTTGAATATGCATCAGTTTTAGTGGTTCATCTTTATATACCTTTATGTATCTGATAGTTACACAAATTAAAATATGTCCAGTAATAAACAAATACTGGATGACCATGAGGTGGATATGCCAGAATACCTATCCGAGGAAAAAATACTAGGCAAAGCGAAGCTGAGCCTAGTATTTCTTTTCGAGGATAGGTATTCTGGCATATCCACCTCATGGTCATCCAGTATTTATTTTATTATGCACCTCCCTTGAGAAATACGTCTATTACGAAATGGGTCTACTTAAACAGAAGCCGAGCCTAAAAACCCTGGTGTTCGACAATCAAAAATTCCATTTATTCTCTCATATGGCCTTATTCTTACTTATTCCCTCCATATATAATAAGTTTGGCCGATCCCGTATCTAGCGCCACCTACCTTTTGTCAGTTAATCACAGGAAATTGAATAGAAATCCCCTTCTCTCATATCACGCAAATCTTTTCTCCCTCGCATTCATCTCAAATTCAACATGGAAGAGATTCTAAGAAAATGACGTCATAGACAATTGGACTCGTCGAAAGTATTTTTTCGAGGATAGGGTATTCTGGTATACGGGATAGTTGGAGATCGCGTTGCTTCAATACTGGATAGAACGAGATCTTGCTGCCACGTATGGCAATAGACCCCGCAGCTCTTAACCAATCAGATTTGAGTATTTTAATGAGGTGCATAATAAAAGAAAATATTATCTGCCCAACACAAGAAAAGATATTTCACTTTTTGTGGTTTTACAACATGGGGTCTATGGGAAATCTCCCCAACCTAGAAGTCACATTTTCAAAGAAAATTGAATTTTCAAAGTTGATAAACTCTTCAAAACTCCATTTCTAAATGTAATTTTACATGTAGATTCCAAATATGACATCAGTTTAACTGAATTGTGAATTTTAATGACGTAAATCAAGATTATTTCTACTCGCATCTGGGATATTGTGTAATGTGTCTGACCTCATTTTACAAAGCATTTGTAATGGTTACAAATCAGCAGGGATTTCATTAGCAGCAGGCAACTGGCAACAGGCAATTGTTTTCACAAAATCGCTTGTTGTTTTTTGGGGACTTTTCACCTTTTCCATGTTAAAATGGTTTCCATTAATAACGCCTAACCATCGACAATGTACAGTGACAAAATATACCATCGTACACTTTAGATGTACGGTGTCACTATTTAACCAATTTGAAGCAAAGACAATGATGTTGATGTAGGTCTTAAAAAATAATCTGAGGAATACATTAAGGATTTCATGTTTGATTTTGTGTGTATTTGTTTGGGAAGACATTTAACTTTCTAATAATGTTAAAAGATTTTTGTGGTTAATCTACCCATATAATTGGTCGGTTGAAAAATGTTGTTTTTTACACATTTCCTTTGATCATTTTCTCCCCTGTCGTCTAAAAGTGTCGAATATTTTTATGAGAATATGTTTCTTTAAACTACACAATTAAGGTCTGTTGAAGATTTAATAAGTATTAACGTTTTGACTATAATTTAAAAAATCATAAGTGTTCGTTGTCAACTTAAATGTATGTTGTCCCATTGAACTTACTAATTCACAGTTAACCCTAATGCAGACAATGTATTTTTCATAACACTAACAGACAGGGGTTCAGATGCATTTAAAATTAAAACAGACAAATACAGAATTACTTCAATTTGATTAAACTATTGAAACTTTCCAGATATATCATAAACAGGATTTTAAAAAGTCATATTCAATAAGCTAGTATACTGGTATAGATCTATCTATCAATGTAACTAAAAAAACGTAAGGTACAAACGCCAAATAATCAAAGAGACTGGAAGCAACGGCAGTGCTCGTCTTCAACATATTCTATTCCAGACACTGAATGGGAGATTGGGCTTGAAGCTAACACCCAATGGGCACAAATTAACCACCACAACAACAATACTTTCATGAAATGAAAAAGCAAAAAATCACATTTACCTTACCTTTAAATCATCTGTACAAAGGATACTTGAACACGTTCGTTAAAGATCACATGTTCCTCATAAAAACCTTAAAGTCCCCGTCTAAAGTTTGAAAATATTTTTTTAGCATTCATTTACTATTTGTCATGACTTAAAAAGTTATTTTAGAGATTTTTGAAAAAAAAAATTTTGGGGAAAAAAAGTTGTGAGCATTTCATTTCTCAAATATTCAAATTTCCCGCCATTTTTCAAAAATAGTTGAAATTTTTAATCATCAAATATTTCTTAATGCATTTCAAAAAAGATTATCCTTTTAACACCAATGCAAAGATTGAACAAAGGACACACTATTTCAATAATAAAATGCCATATTTAATGGGCCACTTCAATGTTTTAGCATATCAAAAATATTTTGAAACATTAGTGATGTCACAAAGGTACAAAAAACTTTTTGAAAAAAATTAAATAATTTTTTTCGATGTCTATCTTTTCTCAATATGCTAGACTTCAATAATCAATCAATGTTAATTGTCTAATTAGGTTAAAAGGAAAAATATATTATGTTTTAGATATCATTGTACCATTGGTTTCTATGAGAACTAAAATTTAGAAATGCATTTTTCTCGGAACCATTTTCTTGCACTGATAAGTTCATTTCTCGCTTATTTATGAACCGATTTTCTTAATTTTTTCGGCAAAAAACATGCGGGGATGAATGCTATGCAGTGGTATGAATTGTGGCTAATTAAAAGATATATGTGACCTCTAAAAGTTAGTTTTAAATAAATTCACAAATTTTGGAACAAAAAGTCTATCAAAAACCACTTTTTGAAATTTAAAAAAAAAGTTTCACATATCACACTTGGATAACATTGGGTAAGACTACAATATAAGCCAAAGTGGTTTAAACTTTACACGGGGACTTTAATTAATTTTGAAATGAAATCATTACATTGTTTAATATTATCTCATGAATTTCAATTTTTACAGGGACAACGTACATTGGAGTTGACAACGCAAATTTCAAAAATCAATCACTGTTTGAAAATATTTTAATGTTACTAAAAAGTTAAATGTCTTCCCAAATGATACACACTAAATCAAGCTTTAAATCTTAAGGAGTTGTTCCACTGACATAGGTGTTGCACTTTACAGATTTTACTGTAATGAGGATGTGACAATTGTCAGGTATAACATATGTCTATTATACTTCTACAGTAGTTCTACTTGAAAACTTACATTAGGAGGAAAGACTTTTCCAGCTACTTGACACACTTCCAATACTTTATTAAGTTCAGTTTTGCTTACCTGAATATGTTGTATCTAAAATATGATTTCGAAATGTAATTTTCTAAGCACATTTCAATAAACATCTGCCTTTAGTCACGTACATAGGGATATAATTTAACACACTTTTGTTTCAATTGAATAACAATTCATAAAACAATACAATAAAAATTTTACTAATTGTTTGCTAACTAAGAGATAAACACTCATCATTTGTAATGATGATGCAAATGATAATGACTTTTGTGAATCCATAAAACATTATGATTTGCCATTAGTATCATATTAGGTCACAAGTGGAAAAACAAAGAGTAAGTACAAATCTTAAATTGTACAAAGTTAATTTTGTCTGTCATTGTTTCATGGGTATTTGGAAAAAACATTTTCATTGGAAATGTCAACTACATTATAGTTTTAACTGAAGTTCTATGTTATCTGTACATGTAGTTTAAAATCAATAATTTTTTTTTAATTGATAAACTTTTAGTTTAGTTGTAATATTATGTCCATAATGATTATTCCATAAAACCTAAGAGTAAAGAGTTACATAGGATGGATAGTTTTACCCTTGCAGATAAAAAATCTCAAAACGTATGTCTCCTTAAACAGTCACATGGCAACCCAATTCCAAATACCCACCATGTTATTTGAATATTCAATATACATGCATATTTTAGGGCATCCATCATGGAACTCAGTCTACTTATCCAAACATGTTTCATGTTGGTGATTTTATCCCTGATGGATCGGGCAGTTGGAGGTGGTCATCGAAGAAAATCAAAAATTGAGGGAAAGTTGAAAGGTGGGATTTCAACATGTAAACCACAAGGTGATCAAAGAAAAGCTAAGGGCATTCTGGGATTCAATCGTACGTTCGTAATGTACTCTAGTAAGGATACAGATGTCCCTCTTAGTGGTTTAACGCCTTCTGAAGAAATTCAAAAGCACCATGGCTACTTTGGCCGAGATAGAGATGAAATTGTAGAGTATGGTAAGTTATAGCAACTATGTACATGTATACTAGTATGGTATAAATGTCTCATACAGTGACTGAATTGTAATTGTTTTAGTGCTGATTTTACAGTAATTTAGGTACAAATGTAAAACTGTAATAGCAGTATGTTTTAAATGTAAACAAGTTTTGATAAGACGTTAATAAAGGTATGACGTAGATATTTAGGAAACAAATGGCAGCCATCTCCGAAAATGGCGGTCGTTACACGCTATATTAAGGTTTTTTCTTTAACTGTAGAGCGATTTTGTTCTCACTTAATATGTGATGACTTCAGGCCTGTCCACTTGGGAACTCCTAACATGAGTGACTTATAAATGTTGAACACCTTTCCTCAAATTGTGGACACCTTGGTCCAAATCTGAACACCTTGGCCCACAGTTTGAACACCTCGGTTAAAATTTTATTGCATATAGCCAAATTTTGGACACCTCAAAATTTTCACTCACAGTTTTTTTGCTGTATCGGCGATCATGGCATGACTTCAAATTTTCCAGCAAATGCGTGACAAATACGCAAATTGCAGGACAATTGGACTGCCTGTGACACTTTGGCACTTTGGCTTTACGTGCCATTTATGTTTTTCGATAATACGGAATGTATGTAAAACTAATATTTATATGTTTTCGAGACATTAATAAAGGTCGAAATGTAGATATTTAAGAAAGACATTGCAGCCTTCTTGGAAAATGGCGGGCGTACATTCCATTTTACAATTTTGCTTTAACCTGAAAAATAGTGGATTGATTTTGTTCATATTTAATGTGCGATGACTTATAAGCATGGCACACTGTCTTTTGACACTTTGGCTTTTAGGTGGCCATTTTGAAAATGGCTGACATTTTACACATGTCATTTATGTTTTTTACTATAGTATAATGTAACAGGGCAATTTCGTTCATATATGATGACTTATAAGCATTTCACACTGTTTTAGAACACTTGGCTAGTACATGGCCATTTTGAAAATGGCTGCCATTTTTTCATGTGTTATTTTACATTTCCACTGTAATTCAAAAAGTAAAGAACGAATGTGTTCATATTTGATATGTGACTGCTGTCACTGATATGTGACTAAGCATGGTACACTGTTTATTGACAATTTTGCAAGAAAGTGGCCATTTTGAAAAAATATTGTTCTATGAAGTTTGCTGTTACTAAAATCATAGTGAAACAATTTGGTAAAGAGGTCAGCCATGGTCGTTTAATGGGATTTGCCATGCTATTGTGTTGCTGTTGTCTAGTTTGAGCAATTATAATTAGACATTATTGTTCACTATCTATATACTAAATTTCAAAGAAAATATGTTAGTGTAGTGTCAGGTTCATACATATAAAAAATCATAGATTTGACATTGATTTTGACCTTGGCATTTAGGGGTCCAAATTTTGAATTTGATGATTTTTTTATCCCTTAGGCTATAGATAAACCATCAGTTCATCCAATCATTCATTCATCAGTCCGAGCAATAACCCAAATACTGGTTGATGGATTGGATTCAAAATTTATAGGCATATTCCTTAGGTGATAAAACCATTGCTTGAAAAGGAATGTAATTCAAATTGGCTGCCATTTTTTTTCGTTGAAAACATAATGTTTGATAACTTAAATGCCAGTTGACAGAATTGGTTCAAATTTTATATGCTGATACCTAATGACAAGGGAGCTTTGCTCAAGAAGAGAGCTGCTGAAATTGAAAATGGAAACCATTTTAAATGAAAAGTCATGATAACTCAAATACCAGTGGATGGATTTGGTTCAAATAATATATATTGATGACTTTGGACACAGCCGCTCTGCTCAAGAAGGAGTTTTCAAGATGGCAGCTAAATTTCAAAATGAAAGTTTCTTTGATTACTCAAATATCAGTTGAGGAATTTGGTTCAAATTTTATATGCTGATGCCTAGAAACAAAGGAGCTCTTCAAGATAGCCACTAATTTTCGAAATTGCTGCCATTTTGCATGAAAAACATAATCTAATTGATAACTCAAATACCAGTAGCCTGATTTGGTCAAATTTTAATATGCTGATGCCTAGGGACAAAGGATCTATGCTTGAGAAGATATGTCTTGAACTGGAAGTCAGATTTCAATTCTGATTTCATATTCAAATTCTGAGAAAATTTCCTGTAAGTTTGATAGCAGTTTCGTTAAAGGACCTCAAGCTGTATGTAGAATTGTTGTAGTTTTTTCATGTGTTAATTTCGCTTACGATTTCGCATCAATACACTTTAAATTTTTTATTGAGAATAGGATTACACCAGATTGTCCCAAAAATATATCTCATTTTCAAAGATTATCTATTGATTAACACCCATGTATTTTTATTTTTCAAACTTCCAAGGGCTGGGATTTAGAATAAGATAAATGCTGTTTTAAGTAGGTTTCTCGAATTATGTAAAATGAACACATCTCTATAATTGTCACAAATACTACCTTATTAAATTGGTTTAGCCTAATATACCTCAAATTTTTAATTACCCTGGCCTTTCCTACAAATTCTTACATTCACTTATTACCAAATTAGGTCAAAATTAGCACTGTAATTTTAAGTGTAGGAACTGGGAACAAGCTAGATATATGTGATATAGAGTAGACATGTAGGGAAAAAGTAGAAGTGAACTAGTTTTAGAGAGTGAGAAAAGCACAAATGTGGAATGTGATATTTTTCATATATATGAAGTGAATTATGCATCATTTGAGATATGTGAAATGAAAGTTAACTAGAATATGAGATATTCTACAACAGTTATGAACTTATGTGATTGCATAGTGATAGTGAAACTTGTGAAAATTGTGACAATAGTGTCAACTTTTACTAACTGATTAAGAACTAATAATCGTTATGAAAAGTGAAACAAGTGTGTATATTAACGTGCTATTGTTCTTACTGATGAGGACAATTATACGTGTGATTAAAATCTGTGATGTGAATATGACATTATTGCAAGAGTCCAGGAGCTACTCTTACCGTAAGAATTGTGTATCTGTAAAATGAACATTTGACGTAACTACAGACAAGACGTGTACATATCCGTTTATATATCGATAGTGTGAACCAGTGTGCAGGAGCTACAAACTGCGAGTGTTTGTGCATCTATGACAATGTAACTATAACTATAATTGTGTACGTGCCAGATTATTATCGCTGATGCAGACCAGTGTGCAGAGTTATTAGACTGCAGGTGTTTCGTACAATAACAACAGTGGATCTTCAAAATATGGTGATATAATTAAATTATCATAAAATTACATTTTATTGACGACAGCAGGCTTTACTAATGACAATAGTGAGCGGTTACAATTATATACAGTAGTGCAAATATACTTCTTGTTGAGTATATTAAAATTTAATTTGAAAACTATTGTTTATTGGAAGTGAGTTAAGTTAGTTTTTAGAAAAGTTAATTAGATTAGTGTTAAGATAAGGAAAGTTAAAGGTAGAATTTTATTTGGAAAATTCCATCGCAAACTGTAAATTTGTAAATATGTTTATTAACTTTGAAATAGATATTTAATTTTAATTCAAAAACAACCAAAGTTTTCATATTATTTACATCAGCTAAGGTATAAAGAACCCTACCCTGTGACAATGGGGGCTCGTCCATAGCCATTACTTAACTTAGATGTTACTTTATTTCAAATAAGCATATTATAAAGTTAAAGTACCTTGCTTATAGTTAGAAGTTAAATTAGCTTAAGAGTTAGGTTACAAAGTTACATAAAATAAAATAGATAGTACCAAGTTATAAAAAAAACAAAAACAAAAACTGCCAATACAGTAAATCAAATCAATTTATCAATACAAAATTGAATATACCTTTTATTAAATCTCTTATCCAGTACACGCTACCTACAATTACACATACATCGCGAACGCGCAAGTTATACATTATACATGTTTAAAAATTTACGCGTATTTTAACTTTCTCCCTTACTACTGAAAAATGGCAGAAAAACAGGAAATGGATATGACAGACAATGACGTATCAGAAAGATCAGACCTGGAGAAATGTATGGAATTGGGAGAAAAGTTAGGCTATACAGGCGAGAAACTAGAAAAGTTCATTTTTGCCGAGCGCGATCGATTAGAAAAATGTCAAGAAAGACAAGATAGAATATATGAAAGAGAACACAAGAAAAACATTGAATTAGGAGCTCAAAGAAAAGAAGAGCTGATGCTTCAAATAGATTTAGAAAAAATCAAACTAGAAAGCATCCACAGAGCAGAACAAAGTAATATAGAAAGACCAACCACTACCAGAGAGAGTCAACAAATACCAAAAATTCCAAAGTTACCGTTCTTTGATGAGACAACCGACAACATTGATGCTTATCTACTTAGATTTGAAAGATACGCAAAAACTCAAGAATGGAAGGAAGAAAATTATGCCATGTATTTGAGTGCCTTATTAAAAGGAAAAGCACTTGAAGTGTATACCAGACTACCAGAGACTACATGTTCCTGTTACCAAACACTGAAAATAGCCCTTTTAAAGCGTTATGAAATGACAGAATATGGGTTCAAAAAGAGATTTTATTCTTCTGAGCCAGAAAAAGGAGAAAGTGCTATACAGTATATGGCGAGAATAGAGAACTATTTTAATAGATGGATAGAACTCGCAGAAGTACCCAAAACCATAGAAGGCATCACTGACCTTATTGTTAGAGAGCAATTTTTAAACTCATGTGGAAAGCCGTTATCTACCTTTATTAGAGAACACAACATAACTACACGATGGGACATCACAGAACAAGCAGATAGATACACCAAAGCTAGAGGTATACACTCACTAAAAGATGACTATTCCACAGGAAATAAATTCAGATCTGAAAGATACAAAAACAATTGGAAAGAAAATTGGAAACACACTAAAGAAAACGAGACAAAAGATCAAACTGACCAAAAGAAAACAGAAGAAAGAACCAGCAGAGTATGCTATATATGTTTTCAAGAAGGACATATGGCCAAAGACT